CTCTCAGCTTGAATACTTTGAATGCTTCTCCACTTTTATAAATATGTGTACAAATCTGAAATCTGAAAAGTATCACAAAAAAAATCAGATTAGGTAACATTAAAAACAGCATTGGAAGATGAACTACTCCATATTTTTTCACTCTTTTGCAATCTCCATAGATCTCTCCCAATTAGGAAAAGTGATCTTTTAAAAAAAGATCTCCGTTTGCATTCAGGTCTAATTAAATAAACTGATGTTGCAGTCATTACCAGGGTTGTACAATATTTGGGATTCAAGGGCAAAAAGTTTTGGATTTGGATCACCTGAAATGCAAACCTAGCTTAATCCTTAATCCAAATCCAAAGATCACTACTCATTCCTACAGATGTTTATTCAAGGCAATGTAGTGGCTAGTTGATAATTTTTAGAACATGTTTGCATATCCCACCTAACCTAGTCTATGCTACCCAGATGGGACTGGCCATAAAAGAAGTGAAGAATGATAGACAGCTCCATATGGCTTGGGATGGAATTTTTGGAGAGAATTCCAGACATTTTCATAGTGACCACCATGATACAAAAAAGATGCTGAAGTCCTAGAAAGAGTGCAAAGAAGAGCAGCAACGATGATGAGGGGTCTGGAGGCTAAATCATATGATGAATGGCTAAGGGAACTAGACATGTTTAGCCTATAAAAGAAGGTTTAAGGGAAACATGATAGAAGTCTTCCATTACTTGAAGGGCTGTCACAGGAAAGAGAGCCTCAATTTGCTCTCCAGAATCACCTGAGGGCAGGACAAGAAGCAATGGGGGGGGGGGGGGAAANAGGGGGGGGGGGGGGGAGAACCAGGCAATAAGGAGGAATTTCCTACTAGTGAGAATAATTAGTCAATGGAACAGTTTGCCTCCCAGAGTTGTGGGTTCCCCTACCTGGAGGTTTTCAAGAAAGGACTGGGCAACCATTTGCCTGGGATGGTACTATAAGAACTCCTGCCTTTGTTAGGGGGTTGGACTTAGAAGACCTCCAAGGTCCGTTCCAGCCCTATGATTCTGACTAGCTAGCCCTGATTGTTACTACTGAATGTTGAGATAAGGTAATTAGAATCCATGGAGGCTTACTGCAGACTGGAGAGGAGAAGGGTCCTTTAATATCTTGATCGTCCCTTTGGGGGTAGGCCAGATCAAAGACACTGGAGCATGGCGAAAGACCCAGGCACAGCCGAGATTCTAAGAAGGTATTGCAACAGAATCTTGACAACCTCTCTAATTTTTACTCTATCCCATCCTATATGATACAAAATCAAGATGGGATTGGATTTCTTTCCAACCCTTCCCTCTTTCTCTAGGACTGAGTGATTTTTTCTGCCAGACAATCTCCCTAGCCCTCCTTTTTTTTAAAATGGCTCATCCCTTCCTCCCCCCTCCCTTACTGGATCTTTCATACCTTCCCCAAGGTCAGCTCTAAATTCCTCTACACCCCCTTTTTTTTGAATTTCTGTTGTACCTTCCCTCCATAACCTTGAAGACAGGAAAAAAAGAGGATGAGTAAATATGTGGCTGTAACAACAGGTAATCCTTGACTTATGACCGTAACTGAACCCAAAATTTCTGTTGCTTGGCGAGACAGTTAAGTGAGTTTTGCCCCATTTTATGACCTTTCTTGCCACAGTTGTTAAATGAATCACTGAGTTGTTAAGTTAGTAACATGGTTATTAAGTGAATCTGCCTTCCCCATTGACTTTGTCATTAGGTCACAAAAAGTGACCATATAACCTAGCACACTGCAATCGTCATAAATATGAGTCAGTTGCCAAACGTCTGAATTTTGATATAATAACAATAATAACAATAACAATAATAACAACAATAATAATACCACCACGGGGATGCTGCAATGGTCAGAAGTGTGAAAAACAGTCCTAAATCACTTTTGTCAGGGCCATTGTAACTTTGAATGGTCACTAAATTAATGGTTGTAAGTCAAGGACTACCTGTATCTCCTTTTGCAGATGCTCTAAGCATGGAAGTCAGGAAATGTTAACTTCTAAGTAACTCTCCTTTCGCAGCATTTGCATTACTAAGAGCCGAAGCGCAGGTTAATTGTTTACAACAGAACTCATTAAGGGGCTCTGCCTAATCCATAACTTGATCCAAAGTCTAGGTTTGTGTGGCAGGCAAGATCTAAAAAGAGCCTACTTTTGTGTGTCTGTGAATATTTCAAAATACTATGCACACCTTAACATTCAGATTAATGGTGTATGAGTCCTTAAGAAAAGCAGAACTAGTAAAATTATAAAGGCAATCACTTTTATGATGCTCTGATTCAGGCATGAAGCATCTGTTCCACTGGAATGCTGCAAGGTGTCAAAACTATACAGTAGTAACATTTGTCATTTGTTGTGAGTCTATGTGCTAAAATATTCTTAGTTTGCCCAAGACTATAGTAACACTATTATCTGTGGACTCTTATTGAATACAATTGACTTATCAATGCCAGACTTTCTTATGTTTTTGTGAATAGACTTTATTAATATTATATTGTGCATGTCATTTTCCTGATCTTACTGTTTACAATTCTCTCTTCTGACCAAATGTACATAAACAAGGACAGCACCACACATCTGCTGAAGTGGTCTACAGTCCATAAACATTTATGCTATTCTGTAAAATGTTGTGGTTTTCACTTCCAGATAAATTGTGGATTGTAGACTACAGGCAGTTCTCGACTTACAACCACAATTGGACCCAAAATTTATGTTGCTAAGTGAGACAATTAAGTGGCTTCTGCCCCATTTTAAGTTGAGGACTATGTGTAATTTCATATAAATGTTAAATTAGAGATTCAAAACTCCAGCAGGAGAAAATCCATGTGAATTACTGTAAACAAAAATAATTTAAAACAATTAGCCACAGACAACTGAAATAACTCACATTCATATTTTCCGAAAGTATAGAGACAAAACAGTTTTTCTAACAATTAAAGCATATAAACCAAAAGAGCTTAGAAATTGGCTAATGCCTTTATTATATGTTTTAGAGTCACAATAAATAATATATTCCCCATTTAGATGTCTCAGATTTCATTCTTTACACTAAAACAGCTTTTATGGCTACTCTCCTACAAATTAAAACTAGTCTGTTTCCAATCAAGTATTCTCGACAGACACAAAACCAAATCTACATAATCTGCCAATAAAACCATCCCATTTTAAAAAGAAGAATCCAATCAAACAAGTGTAGCCAAAGATAACTTAAACAGAGCTCTAAACTAAGAAAGGATATAATTTAATACTGTATGCAGTAGTTATATTCTTGAACAACAATGAACAATTATGAAATGTAAAAAACAACTTTGTTGTTGTTTTTTTTACCCATGCAAAGATTACAGAGAGCGTTTATATACTCAGCTGCTTCAGTTCAGAGGGAAGGAGTAAGAAAAGGGGCTTGGCTCTTAAAATGGAGTTCTCCTTATTCTCTGCTTCTGTTCCCTTGTGAAGGATGTAAGGCTAAGATCACATGCTCAGCAAAAACACCGTTAGTGTTTCTGAGCTCAGCCCGCAGGGGGTTTTGCACAATAAAATCTGTCAAGGGAAGGAAACCAGATGGAATGTGTAGCCAGGGCCCTGCTGTACTACTCTGCTCCAACTCAGCACAGATGGGGTTTTGCAGGAATGAAAGCTCAGCTGCCTGTATACACACAACACCTACATTCCCCCCCCACCCCCGACACACACACACAGTCCTCCCCTTCCTTTTTTTTTTTGTCTTGACGTAATGAAATCCCCAGAAAAGGCCCTAATAATAGTCTCAGGATGTTCCCCCGAAGGCTACCTTTCCTTTCTCTGCTCTGGTGAAAGACACGCGTTTCGGCTTGCCTAGATTTCACGTCGAAATCCACGTCTGGCCCGGTCTGGCCCACCAGGCTGTCTGATTAACAGAACAGAATAATAAGAGTTGGGAGGGACCTTGGAGGTCGTCTAGTCCAACCCCCCTGCTCAGGCAGGAGACCCTGTATCCCATTCTGAACAAATGGCTCTCCAAAGACCCTGATTGCTTCCCCCGCCTTCCTGGACCCCGAAGATTTCTATAAACTTGCTCCACTACTTCTCGGAGCGTGCACCCCTCCCCCCAACATACACACACTCTTAAAAGAAAAATCCTGAGCTGATTTTTGCCCTCCAAGCGTGCCCCCCTCCTCCTCCCGCCGCTGCCTGGCGCGCAAGCGGCTTTCCTTTCCTGTCCTTTCCCCGCCGCCGCCGCTTCAGCCGAGGCAGGCTCTGCTCTTTCAAAGGGTCGCCTGCCTGGCTCTGCCGCGTCCCCATTGGCCGGATGGGGCCCTCCTTCCTGCCGGGGCTGCTGATGTCAGCCACGCTCTCACACCCTTGCTAAGCTTGCCGCCGCCGCCGTTCCTGCTGCTGCGGCAGAACCTCCTCGGCGCGATCAGCCACGACCCGGACCGGCAGGCTTTCCGCCGGGGCGAAGCCAGCTCCGCAGCCGATCCGAGAGCCGGGCAGGCGCCGCTCTTTCCCTCCAGAGCCCGCCCGACAGCCGCCCGTCCGGGAAGGCGGAGGGCGTTTGTTTACTAGGCGGAGGAGAAGGAAAGGTTAGCGAGCCGCCTTTTGTCTTGGAAGGAAGCATCTCCTTTGGCGGCGGCGGCGGCCGATCTTCCCGGGGCGCGCGTTGCTCGCTCTAGCCTCTTTTGCCCGGACTTCGGCTTCGGGCAACATGTCTTGAGGCTGCGGCGGCTAAGAAATGCCTCTGGTTGTAGCGGTCCCGGCGGATGCCTTTGTATGATCGCCGCCGCCGCCGCCGCCGCCTTTGGCGCCCAGCCTCCTTCGGCTTGTGCATGTGTGAAAGGCAGCAGCAGCGCCTGACCGCGGTTTGAAGCTGCCAACCTGGAAGATCGGAGCACAGCGTCGCGGGGTGTTTCCTCCGTCCTTCTCCCCGGGGGCTGGGTCAGCCTGCTGGATGGTGTCAGTGGCGACGTCTACGGCCATTGCCAAGCGGGCGACCTCCGGGGCGCTGTAGACCGTCGGCGGCTTTGCATTTGCAGGATCGGGGTGCCCCGCGGTTCGCGTTTCTCCTGAACTGCTGGTTTGCGTTGAATGTGTCGGAATATGCTCATGAAGGAGTATCGGATCTGTATGCCTTTGACAGTTGAGGAGGTGAGTGCGCGTTGCCTAATACGGGCTGAGTGGATCGCTTAAGGGTTTCTTATGCGGGAGGGGGGGGGAGAGAAATCGGCGGCGATCCAGTGGCTTTTTCACGGAGTTCTTTTTTTATTGCTTGCAAATGCATAGAGGAAAACCCTTGTTCTGCAAGAACGTGTGGATGTCAGGGACAGTTGAGATGCATCAGAATCTCGAATTGGCCACCCAGCTTTGCTATGGGAAAAAAAAAAGAGAGGAAAAAAGAAATACGTTCTCGCGCACATACTTTGGGTGGCCCTGATGTGGGCTGCAATTAATGTAAGAAGAATGTATTTGGTTACAAAAAACTAAGTTAACAAGAAAGCATTCTCTCTCTCTCTCCCCCCTCTCTCTCTCCCCTCCCCCTTTATTTCCATTCCCCAAGTTTATTTAGCTGATCATGCTTGGACGTTTCTATTATTTTAAACTTGCATTCTTTAAAGAGAGCTTGTCACTTCCAATACGTGGAATAAGTGGCCAGCCTTTCTTCGGGTATTCGAATTAAAGCAATGCGTATCATAACATGCGCATGATGCCTAAATTGAAGCGGGTGGCAAACGAGCATGACGGCGTAGATGTACATACAAGGGACTGTTCATGTGTAGAGAATGCAACAGGTTTCAGGGTCATACCAGCTGCAGTTTTAACCAATCTGATAATCTTATCTCTTTTTTTCCTTCCTTCTTTCTATTAGCCTTCTCTGTTTTGACAGTGAAACTGAAAAGCTGTAATCTGAATCGGAGAACAGTTTAAATTACAATTGCTGCCTTAGTAGCACACCAACTTCAATACCATTCGAGTTTCTTTTTCGTCTTTATTCTTGTGGCGCTGCCAAATACCGTATATTCGGTCTTCTCCTTCATTCTTTCTTTCTTTCTAAATATGCTGTACGCCACAAGGGGGCGCGTTTTGGATAGAATTCTCTCTAGAGAGCGTTATTCTTTTCCTTTCTGTTTAATGCAGATACTGTATATACGGTGGGAAGAATCCTATTTGTAGATGGGGTGGAGGGGGAAGATAGATAGGTACGTAACTTTTTTCTATGGTAATGTTTTATTCTTGCATCCTTACATGTTTGGCTCCTTGGCAAGATTTATAATGATTTTTTGCAGTTGCATAAAAACTAGTTTAAATATTCTGGTGGTGCCACATTTTTTTTGCAATTTGGGTCATAAGATAAGATAAGATAATCTTTAATCTTTATTTTTTTACTGTGGGCACAACGGCACACATCAAAAATGAAATTTAGTTGCCTGCTCTCAAAGTGAAACACATACATGACACACACCTAAACATACTATAAACATGAGAAAAGAAAAATGCAGGTGTCAGTCATATAATTCATCTTATTCTGCATTATATTATTTGAGCCAGCCAAAATTCAGTGCCTGTGATCTATTTTGTATTTTTAATACGGGGGAGGGACCTGCCTGGATGTTGTATGAACTTTCCTTCAGCGGCTCTGGTAGTTGCTAACTTAGAATAGTAATTCTAAGTTGCTGTTCCTTAAAAACTAACGCATCTAACCGGTGTTGTTAATGTTCCCCTTTAATTTCTCAGTAGTTAAATTTTAACACCATCTCTCCCCCTTTCCATTTCAAAACTTTTACAGCCTGGTTGCCTGGAGCTTGTCACAAACAAATGAGACAAATGGCTGTTTACAAGCCTGATTTAAAATGTACTTTAGTTCAATACAGAGGACCAGTTTGGTGCAATGGTTAAGGCAGTGGGCTTAAAAACCAGGATTTTGAGTTCTAATCCTGCCTGGAGCATTCTCTCAGCCCTAGGAAGAAAGGCAGGGGCAAACTGCTTCTGAATAATCTTGCCAAGAAAACTGCAGGGACTTGTCCAGGCAGTCACCAGGAGTGAATATTGAATCAAAGGCTCACATAGACAAAAAATAGTTCTACAGAACTATTTACTTACTATAAGTAAAAAGCCAGATCCTCAGTTCTTTGCACAGGTGTGAAAAACATTACACTTCCCTTCCTTTTCTGACCCAGGGTAATGTCTGAATTTGCAAATTGTGTGGTTCATGCTTTTCTTGCAGAATACGACGGGCACAAATAATTTTTCACTTTGGGAAAAAATACAAAACAGGTTTGTTTAAAGTGAAAGAAGGAAGCGCAGAAAAGCTCAATTCAGTTTTTTGGGCTTGTGTCGCCAAATCAAAATTTTGTGTCGTATATGAATGAACATTAACTTTTGGGTTTAAAAATATGAACCAGGAACAAAACATCATGGATTTTAGGACAATCTTTATACAAGTATCGTCAAAGGATTGTGTTTATGATTGTGTAAACGATGCAAGGTAAGATTTTTCTATATTCGCAAAAAGTATAGACCAGGGGTAGGCAACCTTGGCTCTTTTATGACTTGTGGACTTCAACTCCCAGAATTCCTGAGCCAGCCATGTTGAGGGGAAAGGGAGAGGTTTCCAAGCTGAGCTATGCTGGCTCAGGAATTCTGGGAGTTGAAGTCCACGAGTCATAAAAGAGCCAAGGCTTCCTACCCCTGACTATAGACATACCACTCCCACTCATGGAGACTCATGAATCCTACTCTCATCCCTGCTTCTAGAACTGGGGGGGAAACTCACCAGATCTTGAGATGTTTGTTTTATAGGCCACCCATCTTATCTCAAGGTTGCAGGATTTCCGTTCTCCCTACCTACACCCAGCATGGCCAATGGTAAGAAGATGCTAGAGGACCACAGGTTGCCTCTTTTTATTCCAGAAAGCTCTCGGCACTCAGCTTGCCATCTTGGCTGTTTGTACAAGGGGATAAAGTTCAGTAGTCTTTACTTTGAATGTGTCCTTCAAATTGTGCTTAGATACCAATCCTAGCTTAGGATCTTTGCAATCATACCAAGAATGAAACAACTAATCCTTTATGCAAATATAAATTCTCTATTCTGGAAGACTTGTGGTTTTGAATTGTGCCCAGGCTATTGAAAACCATAGCCGTCAGCAACTGTACTTGTTCCTTCATCAAATACTGGGAAATGTATTTAAATAAGTTCTTCCTGGTATTCTTTACTTCACTCTCAGGAACTATCACCTTCTCGTTAATGCTTGGAGTCTTTTGCCATGTTGTACTATAAGCAGTGCTAAATGCACAAGTACATTATGTGACTAGGCTTGTACAACAAGCTGTAGTTTTCCTTGGATCCTTGGTTACTAAGTTGCTTTCCTTTTATTTAAAAAGATGGCTATGAGTATCTGACCTTTAAATCATCAAACTGAACTTTTTTCTTGAATAGTTTGTGTATTTGCTGTAATCCCCATGTGACTTGAGTCAGGGATAAAATATCAAAAGCTCAGACTTAGGCTGCTGTACGTACTTTAGGATAAAATTTCTGGTAAAATTTCTTCCCAGATGGGAAGAAATCTAATGTGGGAAATCTAACTTTGTTACATTGCTGAGTATATGTTGACTAAGGATCTCCTTACTTGGTTTATATTGCTTTACTTAAATACAAGTCCTCAACTTACAACAGTTCATTTAGTAAACTTACAATGGCATTGAAAAAAGTGACTTATTACCATTTTTCACACTTAATAACCGTTGCAACAGCTCTATGGTCATGTAACCAAAATACAGATGCTTGGCAACTGGTTCATATTTATGATGGTCATGTGTGATCACCTTTTGCGACCTCTGACAAGCAAAGTCAATGGAGAAACTAAAGTCACTTAACAACTATGTTAGTAACTTAACAATTGCGATTCACTTAATAATTGTGGCAAGAAAATTCATAAAATGGGGGAAAACTCACTTAATAATTGTCTCTCTTAGCAACAGAAATTTTAGGCTCAACTGTGGTTGTAAATCGAGGACTACCTGTATTGAATTTGGAGCAAAATACTCACTAGTATTTCAAACAAACATTTACATAATATCCTCTTTAATACAAAAATACTCTAGGTTGAAAGCATTAGGCTGCTTCCTGGTAACTATTAATGTTTGCTTACAATAGAAAAAGTCCCTTTGGCATAATTAGCATTTAGGATTGGAAAAAAGCCTGAAATAAAATTTCCCTAAAGATTTAATTGTTCCTGTTTTTTCTTCAGGTTCATGGCATGTAGGCAGGGCTTCCTCTTAACATACTTCGCCAGACTTCCACTAAGTTACAATGCTGTCTTAATTTCATGATTGCTTATAAATATAATTTTATCCATCCCTTTCAGAAAGCAATAGAAGAGCCTTCGTGGCAGCTGTCAGAACTGATAAAAAAATTCATTATAAATGAAGCATCACAATGAAACATGCAAACTAAACATAATTGAGGAGCAAAACAGACATGGAATAAAATAGTTATTGGAACAAATGAAATGTCTAGTATAGTAGAATTGAATTGATCAAATGATTGAATTTCATAAAAAAGAACCATCTGAGATTCTCAGGAATTCCAAATCTTAGATCCTGGATCTATAAATAATTCCCTATTCAAACGGTGTCATTAGAATCTTAAATGAGAAATACTGTCCAATGCAAAACATATTTTGTATTGCTGTTAATGTTCTGCTTGTCAAATGGTCGTAAATGTGAAAAACAGTCATAAGTCAACTTTTTCAGTGCTATTGTAATTTCAAACTGTCACTAAATAAATGGTTGTAAGTTGAGGACTAGATAGATAGATAGATAGATAGATAGATAGATGGATGGATGGATGGATGGATGGATGGATGGATGGATGGATGGATAGATGGATAACCTTTATTGTCATTTTTTACTGTGGGCACATTGGCACACATTAAAAATGAAATTTTATTGCTTGCTCTCAAAAGTGTACACATACATAACACACATTTAAACATTAAACTACCTGTACTTGGTGAATTTCCATGTTGGAGAATGGACTCAGTTTTCCCATTCTTAAGTTCCATATTGAACCTTAACTTGCCCATCAGACTGGCTCTCTTCCCTCATTTTCTAACTATAATCATTTGGATCAAACTTCTCCTCAGCTTAGT